TAAAATATCTGAGCTATTTTTTCAAGCTCAAAACAATGTTTAAAACAATCAAATAGACCATATGTACAATTGAACATACTGTACTGTTAGTTTGGAAAATTATTCGGGTGAGGGTACCGGCTTTTCCCAGATCTTCAAAATTTGATTCGCGAAATCCACGATTTCTCCAAAGAAATCCGCGACAAATAACATACAGTTTTCATTGCTTAAAAACCATAACTACTACATGGCATTTCAAGCTTATTGCTTATAGCACATTAGCTTTTTATCTGCTCTCAACTTAGTGTTCTTTGAAGCACTTCAACATTTTAAATGAGTGCTTTCTAAGCCTGCACCATCCTATGCCCAAGGGAGTCGAGACATTTTCCAACCCGAAAAATTCTTAGACCGGACGGGAATCAAACCCAGCCGCTTCCAGCTTAGACTTCGTAGCTGCATCTTTACCGACTGAGCTAAGGAGTATTGATTGTACCTTTTAAAAACATATTTAAAAAAAAATAACAATGTATCATCTTCAGTTATTTATGTTGTATAAATTCTGAGTTTTTAGTGAACATAATAAAACACATTATGCATTTTTCGCTGTCATTTTTTTTTTCGCTCGTTTCGTGCCCTCGAAATGGATCGGAAACGCCACGTCATGCCACCGCCGGTCAGGACTCGCACAACCGTCTGTTCGGCGAAGTGGACCGCCCGTGCATACCGGCCAAGAACCACATGAAAAGCAATCTGCCCATCGGAAGCGACACCACGCATTCGGGAAAACCCAACGGCCACAGCAATGGCTCCAGCAAGACACCATCGTCGAATGGACATCATCAGAATGGAAACAGAGTCGCTTATACCAACGGCCATAATAGCAATGGGAGCAACGGTAACACTGCCAATGGACACAGCAACGGTACTTATACATCATCAGCGCCATCCTAGAATGGACCATCTCACAGCATTCCGGGTGATGAGAGAACATGAAGAAGAAGAAGAAGAATAAGAAGAAGGAGAAGAAGAAGGCTTTATCACAGAGCCCCGTCTCGGAACGAGTGTATTGTTGATGGACCTGGTCTACGATTCAAGATAGGTTTCTGTGATGATAAGTATCACAAAAAGATAAGTAGCACGATCTTCATCAAAATGTAAGTATTATTGACAATAATCATAACAATCAACTCGTATATACATTGAAATAAATATAAAATATAAATATAAATAAATATAAAAGGGAAGGGACGGTCCAACAGGGCACCCGATTGAAGCGATTTGGATGAGGAGAGTGGAAATGCCAACTCCCTGTTGATAACATTTCGTGGATAAAGGGCGGACTCTTCTCCCCACTCATTGGGGCATCTTCCTGTTTGGGGGCTTGTCTTTTTGACTAATTGGCCGATCAAGTTGCTGGAAGGAGAATCTTTACTGTTCCGTAGATGCGTATAGGTGACTTTGCCTATCGATCTACCCAATCCGTTTTTGGCCCTTCATACAGCGACATGTTGAGGACAATCAGAGGTTATTAAGCTTGATCAAGACAAACAGAGAAGAGAGCCCACTGCTGTCGGACTTAGTTTCCGTGCTACAATGGGTGGTAAACCACTATCTATCTATCTATAACATAATAAAACACATTATGAAATTCTAATGAATAAAAGCGGCATAGCTTTTCTGAAACAACATTTCAAAAAAAATTATGCAATTTCATTTGAAATGCAAATTAACTTGAAAATGATCTACATCTAAATCCCAAAAAAAAAAAATAGGGGGCATAGAACGAATTACCATGTAATAAATTTAATTTGAGGTTTAAATTTTTCGGAAAAATAATACTGAAAATAATTCTTTTTAGAGTATTTTGAAAGAATTTTAAGAAAAAAATTGAGGTAATTCCAACGCAAATTCAAATAAAAATTAATTCTGAATTCCGATGATGGACCTAACAAAATTTTCAAGAAAATTTCTAAGGAATTCTGGCAAGTATTCCAAGAGGATATTCCGGGAATAATTTTAAGAAAATTTATAAGAGATTTCCATGGTAATTATGAGAAGCATTTCAAAGAGTTGATAAGAATTCTGAGTAGAACGAAAAAGAGATTCCTAAGGCAATTTCATGGGAATTTCAGGAGAATAAAGTGATTTTTTTTCAGGAGTATTTTTCAGGATATCACCAGAATTATTAATAATATGATTTTCAAGAGTATTATGGAGAAAGTTATAAGCGAATTCAATTTTTCCACAATTGAATTGGACACAGAAAAGGTCAAGATTCAAGGTTGGGGAAAGAAAATTGATTTTTTTTTGATTTGATGCTTAGAAAATTATATGATCCTGGATTGAGAAAAATCTTCATGGTTCAGGATGTTTTATTTCAAATTAAATATTTCAGACATGGAGCAGAAATTTTCAAGCCCCAAAACTTCAAAAAATATTTGAAACGCCGAACTTTGAATTATTTTTTTGAATTAAGCAAATTGCTGAGTATTCATTCTACTAATTTTGGGATATTGGAACTTTGAAAAGCTTCTAGATCTCATGGCAACCAGTGAATTCCAATTATCAATTTTCCGGTTTCTTCTCGATGTTTTCCTGTAATTTTAGAAATTTTCTAGGATGTACGATATACATTAAGATTAAGCATTAAACCGAAAGCCGAAAGCATCACTAGGTTCAATTGGTCGAATTTGGACCTGTGTTAGAATTCATCAAAATTTGTCTATTTTTTAACTTCCCTGAAAATTTACTCAAAACTCTTTACATGATTTTATTAGAACATTCTCAAACACTTCCATTTGAATCTTTTCCCAGAGTTTATTTTACAAAAAATCTTCTAAAATAAGATTGCTATTCTCTCTGAGAGTCCCTAAAAAAATATGTATAACAGTCATCATCTGCAGATCCATCCAAACAAAAAAACATGATATTCATCCTTAGATTTTCTTCGAATTTTAAAGCTTTGTCTAGGAACTCTCTGACGATTCCTGCTATAATTCCATTCAAAATTCGCTTTAATTCTCTTCAGAATTGTCTTGAATTTTTGTTCAAAATTATCTTGACCTTCTCCTCTGAATTCTTCTGAAAGTTTGCTTAGACATTTCGTAAAAATTCTCTAGGAATCCGTTTCGTGATGCCCTTGGAATTATTCTCGGAATTCCCTTTAAATTATCTTCATACTTACTTTGGAATTGACCGCTCAAAATTCGATTTACTTGGTATTTTTCACGGATCCTGGGATCCTCTTCACAATTGATTTGCAATTTTCCACTTAGCATATTTTTTTTCTCTGTACTCCCACAAGTGACATGGAGTTAAAGTCTTAAATCATTAAGAGTTCTTTCCACAACTCCCTTGGTGTTATCGCTGAAATTCATTCTAAAATCTTCATAAAGTTCATTCGAAAGTAAATGGGGGTTATGACTTTTGTCACATCGTGGTGAAGTAACTCTCTGTGCTAATCAAATGGACTATTATCACTTCACTAGTGGCGAAAGAAACTTCGACGCCCGGAATAACCTCCAATTTTTTTCAGATTAGAAACCAGCATTCTTATAAACATGGAAATTATCCGTAAAGTTCGGGATAAACCTGGAAATCTCAGGAAACTTAATTAAGCAAAATAAGTAGACACCCTGCATAAGAACCAGCTAAAATATTACTTCAATTTCATTAAATAAATTCAAAAGAGAAAATGACGAAGGCATAAGAAGCCCCGATAATTTCAAATAATGTTGGTAGATGAAAAAGAGAGATACATCATCAATATTGACGGCAAGATTTGTGATGGTTCCATTGTTCTGATTTGTTCCAAGTTCTCAACATCAGTTAGGTTATCTTTGATATAAAGCTATGTTAACTGTCATAATACCAAACATGCAAAATGTGTGTCGATACTGGGACACAGCCCGCCTGTCTTAATGCCGTGAAGCGAGCTTGATCGTAGCATCGCTACGAATTTTGTAGATTTCAATTGCAATATTGCATTTAAATTAAATACTGCATTTCCAGATTTCAATTCCAATATAAAAGTTTACAGTTTTAGCATCTTAAGCATTCTGTACTGGTAATCATACTTCAAAGTATGTTGCTATTAATAATGGAAAACTGGAAAAAAATTGGACGAATTCAGTGTAAACTGAAATGTTGGAATCACTGTTCTGTATATCATATACACGATAAAAATAAAATCGTGATAATTTTGCCTAAAAATTACCATAAACAATTTGTGCCATGAAGATGAATTCCACAATTTTTGTGATAGCATTTTCGCGACATGATTTAATGTTTCTGCGATTTTCACGACTGAAAGTTCAAATCCACGACAAATGCGCGAAAATAGCGAAATATGCGCGTGTTGTAACAGCCCTGTAATTTTCATCAATAATAAACTGATAATAGTTTGAATTTTTACTGGTGATGTAAACTTCCAAGCAGGCATGGTATCGCTTCATTCTTTTTAAAATAGAAAACTATCGTTATGTCCAATTTAATATTTGGTTAATCTACTGGAATAGATCGTTTAAAATTACTATTCTCCTAATCAAACTGCACAATTTTCGCACAGTATGGAAAATTATTATTGGGACTAATTAAGTAACATATCAAAACTTGACCTTGTTTCGCCGAATTCAGTATTTTTTATTAAAAACATAATGTTTATTCTTCAACAAAACGCCAATGAATATTGGAGAAGGGGCACTGGTCAACTGTACAACAAAACTTAGTCGCGATGCTCTCACAAGAGCGCTGGACGGCACTGACGTCCATCTTCCGGATCCTCGTGGTTAACTGCTTCGTATCCTTGGCTCGTCTATTATTTTTGTTCAGTAGGGCACTGAGGGAGCCGAAAAAATCCTCAATGGGACGGCACTAGGGCAAGTTGGTCGGGTTCCTTTCTTTCGGCATGTACGGTATCTTTTTCTGCTCAAGATACTCCAGCGTCTTCTTGGCGTAATGGGAAGACGCCTTGTCCGGCCAGAAGACGTACTTCCCATCCGCATGATGCTCCTTTAAGAACGGCAGAAGAATTTTCTCAAGACACTCCTCCTGGTACACTTGTTGATTGATGGCCAGACCGCTCGGCTTGAACCACGGCTTTGAAATCCCTCTGTCCGATATGGCGATGTACAGCATAACTTTTTTTTTTTTCAAATTTATGCTTAAACTTATATTTTACTTCGGGGGATGTGGCCGACTTGTCGCTGGAATAGTAGCTGTCATTTCCTGGAATGTGGGTCTTCGAGAACGGAAAGTAACTTTCGTCGTCCAGCACGAACGACGTCCCCCGGTAGTTCTTTGTCATCCACAGGCACTGCGATTTCACGGTCGCTATTGCCTCGTCCGTGTTTTCGGGGGACCGAGTCTTCTTCCGACAGATGATGCCCTCCATCTTGAGGGTTCGGTGAATCCAGGTATGGGAGCAGTCATATTTTCGGCCGGCGTCATACAAACTCGTTCCGTCCTTGTTGTCGAACAGCTTTTTCAAGGCTTCCTTATTCTTCTTCGTCATTATCTTCGCCGGACGGCCGCTACCGGCCTTCCGCTCCACGCTCAGGGATGCCAGAATCCGGTAAACTGTACTCACGGGCACGTTTTCGCCTCGAATGTGGTCTACCGTAAACTTTTTTCCACGATGACCATGCGTTTCGTAAAACCATACAACACGCTCGCGGAGTGCTTGCTGTTTCGACGCCATCTTCGATTGAACTGACAGCACCCGAGCGAAAAGAAACATGCCACCCATTTTTAGGGAGTCCAGAGAGCAATTCTCTTGGAGAGAAAAAAAATTTATGCTCTTTACTTTAATTACAGAAAGGTATTGAAATCATTCTCATTTTTTATTGAACACCCGTTAGATTAGACCTGTGCACCGGTCCATTCATCGGTGGCGGCGGCGTAATGGCGTGACGCCGTTGACTTCGATCGACGGCGGCGTGCAATGGCGTATTAAGGCTCCTCAACACTGGCGCTATTTATTCACGGCGGAAAATTCACCGCATGGCGGCTTATGGGAGTGCACAAACCAACGTGGCGAAACGACGTTGTTCGTTTGTTTTTTGTCTAAAATAGTTTAGTCTTTTCTGAAATCATCGATCAGCTGATAAACCTTTGAATAAGTCCTAATTAACAAGCAAAGTCTGAAAGAATATCTAAAAGTCATTATTTTAATTTTGATCAATTGAAGATAATTGTTGTTTTTTTTAATTAATTCCTATCAGCTTGTCATATTTTAAGAATATATACGAGACGACATTTGATATTTTCAATCATTGGTGATCTGCTCAATGAAACGTGATCTTTCTACACCTTGCTACATTATAGAGATCTTTGATCAACTGAAAATCTTTGGAATAACTCCTGATCAACCCACTATCTTGTCATAATATCTGAGATACGTGATTTGAATAACTGGATGTAGATCTCCAGAATAATGTGTTATGAATCTGAATTCTGTAATTGTCCAATGGACTTTAAGGAAATGTTTGATCAATTAAAGGTCTCTGAAATAATTCTTAATCAATCTGCGATCTTTAGAGAATATTTTGAATCATGATCTAAGTTATTGAATAATAGGGATCTTCAGATTTTTGTCTGATCAACATGAAGTCTTGTCTGCCACAATATCTAGAGGACTTTATAAAGGTTTTTGATCAAAAGTAGGTCTTTCTGAAAGAAATATATTAGGAACATGATTTGAAAATCTAATAAGTTGGAGGTCTGATCAAGCTGATGTCTTTGATCAATCAAAAGCCTGTGAAAATATTGCTGATGATCCTGCAACCCTGTGAAATTTTCTGATAAACATGGTTTGAATTACTGACCAGTTATGAGCTGGTCATTGTCTTGATAAAATATCCAAAGTATTTTACGCTGGTCTTTAAACAATTGAACGTTTTTGGAATAATTTCTGACTGTCTAATATTTTGCAAAAATATCTTTGAGAAATTATTTGATCTATTGAACAATTGGTAATCTTCACAATAATTATCAGTCTTGAGGTTTTCAGAAGTATTGGAAAATGATCCAGAAAACAATATGGAGAACTTTGATCCACTGAAGATTTTGGAATATGTCCTAATCATCCTTCTATCTTGAGAGAATATCTAAGAAATATTAATGAATCTCCAGAATAATATCAGATCAATGGGTAGTCTTGACCAAATATCCAAAGAACTTTTTGGATATCAGCGATTAACTGAAGTTCTTTGGATTAATTCCTGCTCAACTAGATGTCTTGACAAAATATTCCGAAGACTTTATGCAGTTCTTTGACAATTTAAGGTTTTTGGAATAATTCTGGATCAACATGTTTCTGAAAGAAATATCCTAGAAGAAAATGATTTGAAATACAGAATAGTTGGATATCCAGAGGACTTTATGAAGATCACTGATCAATTTTACGTTTTGTGGAATGATTCTACCTGCTATCTTGCAAGATTATATAAGATACATGACAAGATAATCAAGAATTGCCAAAATATCCCGAGAACACTATGTAGGTATTTGACCAACTGAAGGATATTAGCATAATTCCTGCTTAACCTGATTTCTGAAAAATATCTCAGATTTGAATTACTGGATAACTGGAGACCTCCAGAATAAAATCTGATCGACTTAAAGTCTTGACAAAATATACAGAGAACATAATGCAGGTCTCTGATCACCTGATGGTCTCTGGAATAATTTCTGATCTACCTGCTATGATACGAGAATATCTAACATATATGATTTATTGAACAGTTAAAGATCTTCAGAAAAAAAATAACATATTAACCATATGAATCGCCAATTAATCCAGAGAATATTGTGCAGGTCCATGATCATCTGAAGGTTTATCGAATAATTCCAGATCAACCTACTGTCAGGCGAGAATATCTTAGAGAGATGATTTAAATAATAGGCAGAATATTCAGAATATTTTCTGAGCCACCCTGACTCACGAGAGAATATCCAAGAGGCGTAATTGAAATGTTGGACAGTTGACGATCTTCAGAATAATACATAATCATCCTGAAAACATCGAGCGATCTTCATCAACGTCTTTGATCACCTAAAAGTCTTTTGGATAATTTCTGAGGGACTTAGTATCATGACAGAACATCTTAGACACGTGAATTGAATTGTTGGACAGATGAAGATCTTCAGAATAATACCTGATCATCCTGAAGTCTTGAAAAATATCCAGCAATCCTGATCAATATCCTCGATCACTGGAATAATTTCCGAGTTAGCTGGTATCATATGAGAAAATATTAGAGATGTGATTTGGATTGATGGATAGCAACATATTTACAGAATAGGGAAATGGCTCTAATGTTGGCCTATGGATCTAAGATTAGGCCCATCGCTAAAAATCTGCTATTTATCAATTGTATCTAGATGAACGCCTAATTGGAACGGTACTAATGGATATTTTTGGTTGCTATTGAAAATTTAGTCGATTGCTGAATTTATGTATGAGCCCAAATTAGGGACACTTAGGCCGACATTACATACATTTCCCCTACCTTACTATAATAGAATGGTATCATATGAAAATATCAGAAGAGTAATTTTAATTGTTGGACAGTTGAAAACCTTTAAAATAATACCTGAATAACAAGGTCTTTGGAATAATTTCTGAGCCGCCTGGAATGATATGAGGGAATATCTGAGAGAAGAGATTTGAATTATCGGATAGTTGGATATCTTCAGGTAAATCATACCTGATCATTCTGCTGCCTTAAAAAAATGTCTAGTGGAATTTATGGAGAACTCTGATCACCTAAATCTTAGATATATTTTCTGAGTAACCTGGTTAGAGAATATGTGACAGACGTGATTTTAATTATTGGACAGATGGTTTTGTTGATTTGTTAGACAGGGTCTCCACATATGTTTGGCCCTGGGCCCCAGTTAACGTTAAAAAGGCCCTGTGTTCCGGGTTCCAAAAAAAATATCTTTCAATGAAACAGTCATCGAATGAATTAAAAAAAAATATCTATCAATGAAACAGTCACCTGTCGTCATTGAAAAGCAATGCAACTTTGTTCTGTCAATCTAATTGAAACTTTTATTGGCTCTGTTTTCTTGTGAATTTTAGCTATAATGGGCTCTTTTCTTATTTGTATATCTCAATCTATGGAATCTACACGAAAATTATGTTAGAACGAAATTTCTAGAACAATTTGAGGAACATTATGCCGTAGACTACACATGTTTATATTATATGGGTGGAATGTTCGTAGAACAAATACTTTAAAATTCTTCATTTTTTAAGACATCTTCAAGCTTGAAACTAAGACAAACTTCAATAAAAATCACTTTGAATAGTCAACCTTTGGTTGATAACACATTAAGCTTTGCTATGAAAGTTGTTACAGCAGTTTTTTGTTCTTTGACTATATGTTTTTTAGTATTACTTCTACGTGAAGTCAACGATTTACATAGTTGAAGATGCTAATTTCAAATAACAGACTGTAGTGGTAATTTTTATACGATAGATGGAGTAGATGAAAGCATAGAGTTGATAGTTCCGTTAGAGTACGGCAGTGTGAAGATTGTATATAGATATTAGAATAGCGAGCTAGGACAACTTTTAAGGAAGGAACAAATCGGTTTTTTCATCTCTCTTTACCAAACTCCCCCTTTGGAGAGGGATGGTGAGGGGTGTCCCCCCCCCGCCACCACTGGCAAAAAGAGATGAAAACCGACCCGCTCAAGTACCAACTGTGTGTACGACACGTACCTTGTACCTTCCTTAAAAGTTGTCCTAGCTCGCTATTCTAATATCTATATACAATCTTCATTAGCATCTTCAACTATGTAAATCGTTGACTTCACGTAGAAGTAATACTAAAAAACATATAGTCAAAGTACATAACTCTGGATGGGAGCATACCATCAATTACTGTCAATGGTTGAAAGATACAGTAATTTAAAACACTGTTTTTCAAGCAGCTTAAGCAACGTATTTAATAAGTAAAATTTCAAAACGCTTAGTTAATCTAGAGTAGAACTTAAGCAAAAAGCAGTGCAATAACAGCATTAAATTAAACCGAAAATATAATTTTCTGGGTTGGATGATTTCGATCTGCTTCGTCGAATGACGAAATCATCTGGATCATCTTCAATTGGGAAACATTTGGAGTCATGCAATTGAGTCTATCCTCCAGACGACAAATAGCCTGAGCCAACCCAACACAACTAGATTTTGTTTTTGAAAAATGGCGTATTCGATAGTTTTTAATTAACCATAGCATGCAAACGTCTCGTACAATCCTGTATGATCGAAACAAGGTCTGAGACAAAGTTTAAGGGAAATAGATGGTCCTTTCAGAGA